ACTGACCCTCTTTCATCAAGTATTTTCTGTTCCATGCCCTGTCCATCGTCCACACTACACGAGTGTACAGTCATACAGTAGGCATTCTCATTTTCACCTTGGCATGTCCATTTATGATATACTCTATCACCAACTGCTGCGTATTTTACCAAGTCTCCGTCGAATCTATTTCTCGTCACCTAAATACATTACAGGTTCGAACGATATTTTGAAAATACTTGCTGTTAGGGTTCATTACCTAACAAGTATGGAGCTGAAACTGAAACGAAAATGAGAATTCTTCTTGAGCTGATCGAACACTCACTTCATATTTGCAGGTGGGCACCAGTACTTCGTCACCAACTTGTTCTTGTGGCACATACAGCTCTGTAGTCGGTAATGAGCTGAATTTAAGTTTAGTAATTGATCTCTTTTGGTGATCTGATCATCAAATCAATTGGACATTGGTCAGGCAAAATCAATTAGCAATGAATTAAACGATAACGGTGTACCTGATGTGCAAAGAGTGTGATACTCTGTAATCTGCTTCTATGTAGAAGCACTTAATATGGAATGCTTTGTCGACTTTTGTGAGAAAAATACGATGAAACATAACGATAACTGTTGTTTCAACCATCATACCCCGGGGATTAACCTCAAAATGAAAACGTTTTCATCAATAAAATCAACAGAGAACTGTCAAGATTTAACGAGTTATGTTATTGCTCAGGCTTAGACTGTGAGTATACTCAATTANAGATATCCTACATATTGGAGTGTTCGTGACAAACTCGCTACCACATACGACTTCAGAAAGCTCGCTACTACATACTTAATGCCTTGATGCCCAAGATTCTAGCTAGAGTCTTGGGCATGAGGGCATTGAAAGCTAAGAATGTTTTCAAAGCGAGAATACTAAGGTATGATGACAGTTCGCCTAGATATGGATTCTCCTGATCCAGAAGTTATTAAAATCCACACCAGATTTTTCAACCTTTGCTTTCAAGTTAGAATTTTTACCATTCTTTTACGACGAAGCCCACAACCACTGTTGAATGAAACTTGAAAGTCGATCTCCCATTCCACTGCATCACCAGTCTGTCGGCATTCCTCCCTCTGTAATCAACAACACCAAGAGTCCATACTGATGCGAAAATGTATTCATAAACTGGCAACTTCCAGATACAATAACTTGAATCTGCTTGTGAGAAATAACAGAATCATCCGATGCATTAGAAATCGAGTATAACATCGAATAAAACTCAGATTCCAGAAACCAACCTATCAACAGATATACTGACTAGTGAAAACGGCTCCGTGCGAGTGTGAAACAACTAACTTGGANTTCTGAAGTAAGCAACTATTTGATGTCTTGAGAAGAGCTTATAAAATTCCGATTGAAGCAAAATCCTGGAGAGTCTTCATACAACATGTTGGGAACCACATTTTCTAAACGCATATTCTGCTCATCTCCGAAAAGTTATCAATGGAATCGAAAAATTTCGTGCTGAAATATTCTCACCTGTTATGCCATTATCTATGGTTACGGCGATGATGCATGCCGTTTTTAGGGAGAACATAATGAACAGGTTTAGGAGCATTGCTTGCGAACAAATTAAACACGGAATATTCATATCGTTTGGAATACTCTTGTTCATTGAACTAGTCTAATCGTGACAAAGTTTCACTTTTAAATAACAATCTCATGAAATGTTTCGCCGAAAATTATTCCAGTCATCTATTGGTGTCAATCACTGTCGCTGTTGTTGTTAATCATAGTTTCACGCATGTTCCATGATCGGTCCGTTCCTGTCTTGCCTCGGGTGGTGTCATTATTTTCTTGAGTCTCTGATGCAGTCTAGTTCTACAAGTGTAGAAGTTGAAGAGATGAATTTGTATTGTGCTGAGGGCTTGAATAAAGATTTCAAAAATCACTGATGAAATTTTTTGTAAAGGCATCGTCAGAACTACGAGAGATGCAGGAAGGCATTGCACTGCAGCACATTCAATTCCTACCTATTCATATCAACATTAGTCTACGGAATATGAATACTAAAGGAGATAATTAAGTCGATTTGTGTGATAATTGCATAATTGTGTGGTTCTGAGTGTGTTCATTTTCTGAGAACATTATGAGGTCAGTGAAATTAATAACTTTCACTGATTGACCACCATTCAGTTGCGGTGAGTACCCTTCAGTTTACATCATTTTCTCCCGATTTTCTCCAACCTCCCGGACTTTATCCAAATGTTTCACGACATCACAAGTTCTGAATGCTGAAAATGGTAATGTTATGGCATTTGCATTGTTATATTCTCAGTTCTGAAATGTTACTGAAACGAGGAACTGAGTAATTTGTAGTGAGAAGAGATTCATCACCCACTTCATCTAAATTTCTTCGAACTTCAGTATGTTGGGTCGTTTATTTTCGCAGAATATGCTGAATTGTGAACAATTTTTCGTGTTCTTTCATAGGGTTTTAATTGTAAGAGAAACCCTATGAACTGTTCAATAAAGCGATTCATATGTATTCATGATTCATATGTATTCATATGCACAAATTTATATGTGCCTTTAAGTCTGCTTAAAAACAGAGCGCTACACAGCGCTACGAAATGAATTTTCAATAGTGTCGGTTCGCATTGCTCGGATTTCAGCCAAACGTTTCGTCCAAAAGAAATTACTTTAGCACTTTAAAAAAGGATTATGATTTAGCTTCGACTTCCTTTCATTGAATTGTAATTCTCTTTGAAAACATTATTATGTATCATGGATTTTCACGCTGGCTGATAGCGTTATCAGATTTATAATCGTCATCTAGATGACTGAATCCTTAAAATTGACAACTGGTATCCTGTCCGAAACGTTAATTCGTTAAAAATAACGAATATCAGTGGAAAAATGTCGTTTTTAACCAGGCGTAAGCTTTCATTATTGTGTGTTGCAGGTGATTCGCATTCCTCATAGTTCTCGGCCCCAGAAGTTTTGTTCGCCCCGGATTCCCGTCAGTTACGGAGCCGGAAAATAGTTCCAGATCTACTCAACTGGTCGATCCGGTAGAATGCGTGCAGTTATACAAAGGGTTCATAAGGCGGCAGTGCTTGTCGGCGAAGAATTGGTAAATTGTTTTCTTTCATACGTTCAGAATTTTGTGAGTGAATTTAAATTATCATAGGAGTTTCGAAAGAAGTCATAAAATGAACAATTCAATAACGTTTCCATCATTTAACTGTTATGGGCCATTAAGGCTGTTTTAGTTCTTTCAAAGAGAGCTCCATGAAACTCTAAAATTTAGACCGAGCTCATCATATTGGAATATTTTTTACGGTTGTTTTACAATGAATTTATGCAGATCTCATCCATTGACCGTGGAATCTGCGTTTTGATTGGTTTGAATCGGGACGACAGTGACGAGGATGCGGAGTATATTGCTCGGAAGTTGGTTAATGTGAGACTTTTCGAGAATAAAGAAACTGGAAAACGATGGGATAAAAGTGTCAAAGATATGCAATATGAAATCCTATGTGTCAGTCAGGTAATATCTTCGATATAAAAGTTTAATCGAGCTTTCTTTAATTTTACAAATACGGCCTTTTTTGGGAGGATGCATTTGTTAATATAGCAAACCACCATTAAGTGGGGCATTTCTAGAAATTATTGCAGTTTAATATTAAATTTTGAGTCGATTTCGATCCGAACTCTCAGCAAGTTGAATAGTAGTACGTAGGGCTTGAGATAATAATTTGCTTTGTGGGCCTTGGAAATTGCATGCAGATCTTTGTANTTTCATACGTTCAGAATTTTGTGAGTGAATTTAAATTATCATAGGAGTTTCGAAAGAAGTCATAAAATGA